GTATGCACTTGCCAAAGAGAGAGACAGAGAGGGAAAGTGGGAAATCACCCCTCAGGGGGATTAGCCATGTCACAATCCCTTCTCCATTCTCCTCCCAGGATCTTGAGCATGCACACACACGTGCCTGGAGTGATTTTCAAGCCACTCGGTCTGGGACTCAAACCGCGGTTGGCCATGTAGGAGTCCAGTGATGTAACTGCTATGCCATCTGCTGGTTGTAGCAAATGATAACTCTAGATACCACAATCCTCCAGCCTCTAGTAGTTTTTTTCCATAATGCCTGCTACCATGTCCACCACCAAATGATAATTCTAACGAAGTATTTCAGTCTCTCCAAAAGAAAAGAAGAGGGCCAGTCCTGTGGTTCAGTGGTTAAGGGAGCCAGATTCCACATGGCCAATCATGCTGGTCAAGTCCCAGACCCAGAGGCTTGAAAAGCATACCAGGTGCTTATGTATACCCAAAACCCTGAAGGGAAGAAGAAATGGAGGAAAAAAGAATGTTGGGTGAGCGTACCCCACTAGGAGATAACTTTCCACCCACACCTTGTGGTGAGCACATGTGCCCTCTGGCAGTAATTAAGAAAAAAAAAAAAAGGATCAGCCCTGGGGCTAGCAGGAAGTGTGGTGGTTGGGGTGCTGGACTTCCACATGGCTGACTGTGGTTCAAGTCCTGGATCTGATAGCTTGTTTTCTCACTCTCCTCCACCCTGGTCAAATTTAAAAAAATTAATAATAAGTAAAATTAAATAAGTAATTCTAAAAAAAAAAAAAAAAAAAAAGAATCAGCCCTGTGGCTTAGGGGTTGAGTGAGCTAGATCCTACATGGCTGACTGAATGGTTTGAATCCTGGACCTGGTGCTAACATGGACAAAAAAATCCACTTTGAGAATCTGGAAAACACTACCTCTATACTAAATAAACCTCTACAGTTCCAAATAAATTTTCAAAAATTTTAGTTATTCCTTCTTCAGTAGTAGAATGTCATTTTAAATTATAATCTTATAAATGTTCACTGAAGTCTGATTAAAAGAAGAGCAGTCACAGCATGTATTTCATCAATGGAAAAAAGAACTCCTTTTTCTGGAGAGGTTTTTGCTATAGGGCACGTGCACTAGCCCGAAAGACAGAGACAGAGAGACAGAAAGTGAGAAATCACCCCCCCAGGGGGGATGACCACGCCGCAATCCCTTCTCCTCCATTCTCCTCTTGCGATCCTGGGCATGCACACGCACCCAGCGTGAGTTTAAGCCACCAGCTCCAGGACTAGAACCGTGATCGACTACATGGGAGCCCAGTGACATAGCCATTATGCCAACTGCTGGTCCCGGGTCCCGGAAAAAAGAACTCTTCTAAACCAGAAAGTTTATAAGAATTTTAAAAGAATAATGGTTGACTTTTTTTTAAGTTTTTGCTATAGGGTACATGCTTTTGCTAGAGAGAGATGAAAAGTGAGGAATCATCCCCCGGGGGGATGGTCACACTGCAATCTCTTCTGCACTATTCTCAGGGCTCTGGGCACACACGCACATGTGCTTAGCATATTTTTCCAGCTGCCAGGTCCAGGACTTGAACTGTGCAAGTGGATATATGGGATCCAGCTGGTGTAACCTCCACGCCACCTGCTGGCCCCAATGATACTTTCTTCTTAAAATAGAGAAAACAAATGGTAAGAACAAGATAATGTTTATTTAGAGCTCCCTCAGGGTCAAGAACCTAAATCGCCCCCACTGTTTCAGTTTCCGTGTGTGTTCTCCAGGATGCCTCCCTCCCTCTTTCTTCATTTCTTCCTTCCCTTTCCTTTCCTTCTGAGAGTTTCCTTAACTAGAACTACTACAGACTTGGGAGGGGAGGGTGGGACATGTGTAGGTGGACAAGGATCACAGACTTAGAACACGAGGAGATCTAACTCAGAAATGGCCCAGGGGAGGCCGAAAGTTGGCTGGCTGTTATGCCCCACCTGTACCCCAAGTGACTAAAGGTTTCATCTGTGTCCTTTTAAAAATGTTCTTTCTCTTTCTTTCTGTCTCTCTTTCTTCCCTTCCTTCCTCTACGCTTCTCTTCCCTTCTTCCTTCCTTTCTTTCTTCTAAGATTTTTGCCATAGAGTGCACTCACGGCAGAGACAGAGAAAAACAGAGAAAGTGGGAAATCACCGCCAGGGGTATGGCCACACCACATGCACACACATGCACCCACTATGTTTTTGAAGCTATGAGCTCCAGCACTCAAACCGTGGAGTCAGCCATTTGGGACCCAGTGCCCCAACCAGCACGCTAGCCATTGGCTCTATCTGTGTCTTTCCTAATTCAGTAACTCAGATTTTAGAAATATTCCTAAACAATAACTCAGATTTTAGGAATTTTCTTTGCAATTTTTTTAAGTTAATAAACTTTTTATTTGAAATGTCTGTTAGATGCCTTAAAGATTTTTTTTGAAAGATAAGCACTACCTCATTACATTTATCAGAAGAATTTATTTAGGATCTTTGTTTTTTTCTGCTATAGGGTATGTGCGCTTGCAAAAGAAAGAAAAAGAGACAGAGAGAGAAAGCACCCCATCACCACCGCCACAGTGAACATGATCGTACTGCAATCTCTCCTCCTCCAGTCTCCTCTTAGGATTTTAGATATGCACACATGTGCACCTGGCATGTTTTTCGAGCTGCTGAGTCCAGGACTCTAATGGGGCCATCGGCCATGTGGAATCCAGTGCCTCAACCATCATGCCACCAACTGGTCCCTGGGATCAATCTTGAGTTTGGAATTATTATAGGGTTACTGACTGGTTGGAAAGTACAAGTGAACCAAAACAAGCAAGCAAACAAACAAACAAACAAACAACAACAAAACAACTCTGGAAAAACCTAGGGAAATAAATGAGTTAATAAACTACTATTTACAGATTTCCAAATATTCACCAAACCTTTAGATATTCATAAAAAAAGACTGTAAGAAAGGCTTAGGGGTTCTCTCCTCTTTCACAATCCTTACGTTATCAAAGTAAAATGCTACAAACACCAAAACAAAAATATTTAACCACAGAGAAGACACAGTCTGCACATACTTTTCATGAATCTTCAGGACTCGGTGCACTATAGGAATCTCTCTTCCTTCTATCCTAAAAACAACAATTTCTCCCACTCGTATAGGATCTTCGACTCGATTTGTTAGAAAGAGAAGATCTCCTCTATGAAATGCGGGTTCCATGCTGCCACTGTGGGGAAAAGAATATAAAAGCAAAGAGAAAAGTGTGAGATTAAATTTACTTGCAAAATTAGGTCCTCAACAAAATCACCAGAGGGGTCACCCCTGGAGTACATGCAGCACCTTAAGGATATCAACATAAATGCGTATTCTCAAAGCATGGTTTCTTCAGACTAATGAGCTATGCTAACGGAGTTTTTGAGTTATTAGCCTTCATTAATTAGTTTTGTCTCAAGCACTGCTATTCACAGGCGCTTACATTTTGAAAAGGGCAGTGTTACTAATTCTTTAACCTTTTAAAATTTCAAATGACAAACAGAATATAAAAGAATGAACTTTAAAAACTCTGCCCTTATTCTCACTTCATCTGAAAACACTAAACATATTCAAATATTCAAATAAGAATAGGATCATCCTCTGCCCTTTATAAAGATGCAGACCAAGACGACCTTATGAGTTCAACTCCGTTATGAAGGAAATACAATTCATCAAATCAAAGAATAGTCAGCTACAGAGATAACCCTGTGTTATCAATAAGCTTATGTATTTTAAAGAGAAATGAGAATAGTCAGTTACAGAGATAACCCTTGTGTTATCAATTTACTTATGTAACTTAAAGAGAAATGAGACAGAAAACTAAGGACTACAGTTTAAACCACCAGGTCCAGGACTCAAACCATGGTCAACTACATAGGAGTCTAGTGACATAGGCATTATGCCAATTGCTGGTTCCTTTTTCTATTTTATTTTTTTATTTTTTTATTTGACCGGGGGGGGGGGGAGGAGGGGAGTGAGAGAGCAAGTTGCCAGATCCAGGACTTGAATCATCTTTGGCCATGTGAGTCAAGCACCTCTTCTGGTGCTTGAATTACCAGACCACCTGCCGGCCCCAGTGAGACACACACTTCTACAGTGTCTTCTTACCACCCAACTGTCTTACTATACACTAAGTTCTAAAAAGGTTCTAAGATATTTGCATTAATTAATGAACCCTTCTTTATTTTATGAAGAAAGAGCCTATCAGTAAGGTTTCAGGACCTCAAACTCCAGTTTCCAGTAATGACACCTTTATTTTGGGGAAAAGAGGTAGGAAATAAAATCCAGTACAGGAATAATGACAAAGCCCCATCATTTCTACTTGAAGACGCTAGTCCTCCTATGAAGGGCAGTGGTTTCCAAGTTTTGCTGCACATTGGAACAAGCTGGGGAACTTCTTTAAAAAGTTATTTTTATTCATTATTATCTTTTTTTTTTTTAATTCAGAGAGAGAGAGAGAGGGAAAGTGAGGAAGCAACTTGCCAAGTCCAGGATTCGCACTGTGGCTGTCCACGTGGCAGTCCAGTGCCTTAACCAATATGCCACCTATTAGTCCCCAAACTGAGGATCTTTTCAAAAACCCCAATGCTGAGACCAGCAGTTAGTGTAATGGCTATGTCACTGAACTCCCATGTAGTCGACCGCGGTTCGAGTCCTAGACCTGGTGGCTTAAACTCACACTGGGCACGAGTGCGTGCGTGCCCAAGATCCTGAGAGAAGAAGGGATTATGGCGTGGCCATCCCCCCTGGGGGGTGATTTCTCACTTTCTATCTCTGTCTGTCTCTGTCTTTCTGGCAAGTGCACACGCCCTATAGCAAAAACCTCTCTCCCCCACAAAAAAACTCCCAATGCTCAGGTCACAGCCAAACCATTCACATCAGCATGTCTGGAGGTGGAAGGTAGGGCTTCAGTATTTTGTAAAGCTCCCCTGTGATTCCAATATGTAGCAACATTTGGAAACTATCACAAACATGGATTTGCAGTACACAGATGCTTACTCTAAAACTTTTCTTATAGTTCCTCATGAGGCAGTGAGTTAGCTTTTTCAGCAGATGTTCCGATGGAGCAGACAGAAGATGAAACACGTGTTTGACAAAAATATTATATAAGATATTCTATGCATAGTTTCCAAATTTACTTAGCTTGTTTAATTTTTTTAAAGAATCATTTATTTAACTTTATGTATGTATGTGTGTATGTATGTATGTATGTATTTAATGTGACCAGAGAGGGGACAGAATGAGAGAGAGAGGGTGAAAGTGAGAAAGCAAGCCATCAAGTCTGGGACTTGAACTGTGGTCAGCTATGTGGGAGTCCAGGGCCCTTAACCATCTTGCCACCTGCTGGCCCTGTTTAACTAATTTTTAATCATCAGTGTGTGTGCACTTGCGGGGGGGAGAGAGAACACCCCCCCCCCATGGGGTGAGGTCACTCTGCAATCCCTTTTCCTCTATTGTCCGCCCTGTTAGGGTTGTGGGCATGCATGCACAAGTTTCTGATAGGTTTTTCAAGCTCCCAGGGTTGGAATTAAAACCATGGCCTCGGGACCAGCAGTTAGCATAATGGCTACGTCACTGAACTTCCATGTAGCCGACCGTGGTTTGAGTCCCAGACCTGGTGGCTTAAACTTACGCCGGGTGCATGTGCGTGTGTACCCAAGATCCTGAGAGGAGAATGGAGAAGAAGGGGTTGCAGCATGGCCACCCCCCCGGGGGGTGATTTCTCGTTTTCTGTCTTTCTGGCGAGCACACACGCCCTATAGCAAAAACCTCTCCAAAAAAAAAAACAAAACAAAACAAAAAAACATCCCTCTTTGTAAACACGGATTCAAGGCAAATGAAAGGAGAGAAAAGTAAAGAAAAGGATGCATGTACAGAATTACCCCAATTATAAAAGAAATTACCCCAATGTGTAAAAGATACACATTTAAGGAGACTGAAATGTTAATAGTAATTATATCTTAGAATTATGGGTGACTTAGTTTCATCCAGATTTTTTTGGTGTGTTTTCAACATTTCATATAATAAAAATACATTAACTTTTTTCTTATCATAAAAGCATTTTCTTAAAGGTCACTACAACAGCCCAAGCTGGAAATGACAAGATCCTAAAATAGAACAGCAACAGGGAGAATAATTATTAAAAGGGTAGAATAGAGAGGAAAAATAACAAATTCGGTGGCCAGCTGGATATGACAAAAGGGGGAAATCAAGAACGGTTTAACACTGACGAATAATGACAGTCAACCGCCATGGCAGTGGCAATCACAGAAGTAGGAGAGAGTGGTTTCGAGAGAAGGAGAGGGGTTTCATTTTTATTGTGTAGAGTTTCAAGTGCCTGGTCAATTCCAGATGGAAATATCCAGTGCAGGATGAAAACAAGAGCCTAGACCTCAGGAAAGACAGTTGAATGAGAAATAAAAAGGTTTAGAAATGTAGATATAGATGGTAATTAAAAACACATAAAAATAACTGAAAAATCACACTATCTCCCATAAACATAAACAATTATTATGTCTTTTTTTTTTTAGAAGATCACGAGTAATAGGAAGACTTTTTTAGAATTATTTAATTTAATTTAATTTATTCATTCATTTATTTTAATTTGACCAGACAGAGAGAGAGAGAGAAAGTGTGAAAGCAAGCCGCCAGATTCAGGACTTGAACCATGGTCAGCCATGTGGGAATATCCAGCGCCTTAACTACCATGCCATCTGCTGGTCCCACAATTATTATGTCTTAATCCAAAACTTTTTTCAAAGTGGGAAAACACACACACACACACACACACACACACACACACAGAAATATGTAGTCAGGATGAGCTTTGTAGCCTGGTGTTTAAGTGAGCCAGATCCCACACGGCCAAAAATGTGGATCCAGTTCCTTACAGCTTGGAAAACATGTATACATGCATGTCCCCAAATCCTAACAGGATGGAGAAATGGAGGAGATGGAACTGCAACATGACCATGGCCCACTAGGGAGATGTTTTCTCCTTCTCCCTTTCTGTTTTTCTCTGTCAGTGCACATGTCCTCTGGCAATTAAAATAATAAAAACAAAAACAAAAACAAAAACAAAACATGTCCCATTGATGAGGGCTGGTCCCACAGAGCAGCAGCTACAGCCATGTAGAGGAAACTGGCTCTCACATGGTCAACCAAGGTTTGAGTCCTGGATCTAATAGCTTGAAAAACACACCAGTATATGTGCACATGCCCAAAAGGAGGAGGAGGAAGAGGAGGGGGAGGGGGAAGGACAGGAGGAGGAGGAGGAGGAGAAGAAGAAACAACTTAGGGGTCCAAATAATGGCACAGTGGTAAAAAGATGACACTCTGGGACCAGCAGATGGCATACTGGTTATGTCCCTGAATGGAGGATTGCGATGTGTCCATCCCCGAGGGGATGATTTCTCACTTTCTGTCTGTCTCTGCCTTTCTGGTGGGCACACACACCTTTTAACAAAAAACTCTTTAAAAAAAAAAAAAAAAAAAAGCTGACCCATATGGAAAGACTCGTGGTTCAAGTCCTGCTCCCTGAATCACTGAGTGCACACATGTCCATGATCCAGGGCTGGGTGAAGGCAGGGTGGACTGTGGATTTAGGACACTACAGATTTCTCATGGAAGAAAGGAGAGAGGGAGGAAAGAAGGAACTAAAAAAAAAAAAAAAAGAATAACCTGATGATATAAAATTGTTCATTGTAGCAGAAGTAGGCCACTTGCAGGACTATGACGATTTGAACAGGTCCTCTACTCTAATTCCCTGTGTACTCCAACATTCTCAGTTTAGACGCTGATTGTCCTTCAATATCACCTCTGAAAAGAACTAAATCTGAAATAATCCTGGAAAAATCTCTGAAAGAATCTTCCCTAGGTTCTCCCCACGCCTGTTCCCCACAGTGCTCATGGGTGTGGCTTCTCCTTCCGTTAGTGTGTGAACACTTCACAAACTGAAGCTTGCCACTGAATTTGAGTCTGCCTAGGAAATTAAGGCCACATAATTTTATAACCAGAGAGGTTCTTGGACATCATGTAGGTCTAGCCTTTGTTTCATAGGTGAGGAAACTATGGATCAGTGGATTAGTGACTTGCCCAAGGTTGTATTAAATAGTTAGACAATGAAAGAGTTAGAGACCCAAATCTCTATACTTCTAGAGTAGAACATTAAATACTTTCCCAGCTAATAAAGTCTATGCACTTCTTTGGATAGCTAAAATTAGTTATATTTGATCATCAATAAAGATAGAACCAAAGAAGCCAGGAGGTGGCACAGCAGTAAGGTAAGATGCTCTAGAGGCTGACCCACGTTGGAGGGCTCAGGGTTCACATCTAGAGACCTCCCTGGGTACACCAGACATGTGCAGGCCCATGGTCGGGGTGGGCTACAGTTGAAGGTGGATTTCAGGACCCTGTTGGGGTGCTATCTCTGTCTCTCTCACTCATGGAAGAAATACAAGGATAAACTTTAGAAAATAATAATAAAGGTAGGTAGAATTAAGGTATAAGCATAAGTAAGGAATATAAGTACGCAAGAAACTGAAGATCCAATGCCTTCAATCACTAATTGAAATTCAAAGTATACCAGAGTATGGCAATAAGAGTCAAATTCACCCTTTAAGAACAATGTTAAGTGTTCTTGGGACAAGCAGATGGCGTAATGATTATGTTGCTGGACTCCCATGTAGTTGACTATGGTTCGAGTCCCAGACTCAGTGACTTAAAATTCACACCAGGTGCAGCGTGCATGGCCAAAATCCCGAGAGAAAAATGGAGGAGAAGGGACTGCGACATGGCCAACCCCGGCCCCAGTATGATTTCTCACGTGCTGTCTCTCTGGCGAGCACATGTGCCCTAAAGTGAAAATCTCTCTCTCTAAAAAAAGTTAAATATATACAGTTTTCTTTTGCATACCAATCAAACCTCTGTAAAGTGGTTAAAAAAGTATAATATATTGGGACCAGCAGATGGAGTAATGGTTACATCACTGGACTCCCATGTAGTTGACCATGGTTCGCATTCTGGACCCAGCAGCTTAAACTCACGCTGGGTGCATGATGTGCGTGTGTGAGCGCTTAAGATCCCTAGAGGAGAAGGGAATGCGGCAAGGCTATCTCCCCCAGGGGGTGCAGGGGGTGGGGGAGCGATTTCTTGTTTTCTGTCTATCTCATTCTGCCTCTCTGGTGAGTGCATGTGCCCTATAGCAAAAATCTAAAAAAAAAAAAAAAAGTAATGTACTATTATCTGGACTGTCAATAATGTTAATGATTCAACTTATTTTATATTTATACTTTATTATCTCCAGAAAGGATCTGAGATGGCTTACCAAATTAAGCCCCAAATAAAACGGAACTATAATGATTCAATTAAATAACCAAGTGGTAATTATCCATAAATTAATTACTAAATTAGTCTTAAAATTACTAAGTACAGGAATGCAAAGTCAGAGAAGGAAGCAGGGCAAACAAAAAAAATGCACTATTATCTGTCACCTTCAGAGATGGTATTAATACCTTCAAAATCCCTGACGTCTACTTTAGAAGTGATATTTAAAGGTCAGCAGAAAAGACAGTAATTAGTGTTATTTCTGTACTGACACTGAGAACATGCTGCAGAAAAAATCTTTAATTTGTGGACTTACTATAAAATCTAATAAAGTTGCAACTAAATATCAGAACGGATTTGTCAAAGTGAGCAACAGTAAGAGGAGAAGTATATTTAAAAAATAAAGTACAATGAAACACTTTCTTTGGTGGGGGGAACAAAGCTCACATAGTAACCCTTTTATGAACAGGTCATGGGCCTTTTGGGTAACTGAACTAGAAGTGCCTAATGAGGTGAGACTTTTACATAGCTGACTAGTAACTATGTTTCTTCCATGCCCTCTTCTGGGAAAGAATAGTTTCTAAGTGACTGATAATACTAGTTATTCAATATCTTAAAAGCCATGCCATGCAATCCCATGCCTTGAGAAGAAAAATCAGTTGTTACCTGAGCACCACTACAATTGGACTTTCACTTCCAGTTATTACCATCAACCCCTTCCAGATCATTAGTGCTGAGGAGACAATCATTCCGAAATTTAGGACTTGATAATAAAGCTGTAAGAACAAAAGAGAAGAAATAAGAGCCACCATTACCCCCACTCAGGAAAGTATCAATTTAAAGGTTTTAAATAGTGCTATTAGGGTAGACGAAATCCTGAGCCATTCCTTAAAATATTGTAATAATTACAGCACCCCAGAGCAGCCCTCCGCTCACCTCAAGTACTCCACTGTTTTGTTGGCTAAAATATCAGCTGCATTAAATTAATAATGTATTACTTTCAGAACCATTCACACAAAATTTTTCATTTGAGCTTCACAACCATTCAGCTTAAATGTAGTCACACCCCTGCTACATACTAGCTGAGAGTAATCTAACTCTGTCTGATCTCTAGCATTTAGTTTTCTAAGATACTTATTCCTTAATAATCATGGTATAGTCTATGACATTTATCTCCATTCTCTCATGGAAAATGTATATTATGAAAAACTCTTCACGCTTTTTTGCACTTAAACATTAACTTGTACTTTCATGATCATTTCCACGAACTTTTTGAAGCCCCTCAGAGTATCAGAAAAAGTGTTATCTCGTTCTGATATTGGGCACAAATAAGATGGTAGCTACCTAACCTTTTATCATTTGGCCACATTAAGTTAACACATTAAGCAAGACGTTGTGACACTTGCATAATACCAACCTCTCAACTGATAGTCCTTTTCTAAGTGACCAGAACTACATTTTCTTTAATGCTCAAGGTAAACATAGAAGAGAATGTAATTAAAACCAATCAAAGCTTCATATATTACTCAGTAGGTATGATATGGAGTCTTGAGTATACTCTGTTTTTCTTTTTGGAAATAACATGTAGCACTCTACCCCAAAAGTCTTGTAACTAGAATAATCCACAAGACATTTTACAATCTACTCTAAATAACATATAGCAAGAAAATTTTAAAAACCTAGGATAGAAAATTCAGCAAACTAAGGACGAGCAGATGGCGTAATGTTTGTATCATTGGACTCCCACGAAGTCAACTGTGGTTCAATTCTCGGACCCAGTGGCTTAAAACTCATGCCAGGCATGTGTGCATGCATGCCCAAAGTTCCAATAGGAGAATGGAAGAGAAGAGACTGCGGTATGGTCATCCACCCTGGGTGGTGTGTGGGTGTGATTTCTCGTTTTCTGTCTCTCTGTCTCTCAGCAAGTGTATGTACCCTATAGCAAAAATCTATTAAAAAAAAAAAAGAAAAAGAAAAAGAAAATCCAGCAAAATAAAAGACAACAATTATTTTAAATATTGGATCCACATAAAAGTCATGATGTATTTTTTCCTACATTTTTCTATGCATAAATGCATCACGACTTTCATGATGATCCAATACTATAATTAACAGGCTGCACTTCAGGGCATAACTATGACCTGAATATTTATCTTATTATTTTTAAATAAATATTTATTTCACTGTATTTATTATCATTATTTAATTTGCCACAGAGAGACAGAGTAAGAGAGAAAGTGAGAAGTCAAGACACCAGGTCTGGAACTCAAATCGCAGTCAATAATGTAGGAATCCAGCACCTTAACCACCACACCACCTGCTCCAGCAGCAGCAGCACACCACCTGCAGGCTCCAGTTATCAATTCTTAAAAAGTATATTTTCAATTCAACACACAGGATATATATATTTTTTTTTTTGGTGAGAGGTTTTTTGCTATAGGGCGCGTGCGCTCGCCAGACAGACAGAGAGAGACAGAGAGACAGAAAGCAGGAAATCACCCCCCAGGGGGGATGGCCACGCCGCAATCCCTTCTCCTCCATTCTCCTCTCGGGATCTTGGGCACGTACGCACACGCGCCCGGCGTGAGTTTAAGCCACCGGGTCCGGGACTCGAACCGCGGTCGACTACGTGGGAGTCCAGCGACATAGCCATTACGCTAACTGCAACACACAGGATATTTTCATAGAAATCGGACTTCTAGC